ATATGGTTTGGGAGCTACCACAGGCCAAGGACCATTCTCAGTTGACCATCTGTGTGTGGCCACCCCATATGGGAAACTGGAAAAAAGCTTCTAATACCGCTTATAAATGAGCCTACACAAATACTGGAAAATAGTATAAATGTTGGCCATTCAGTGCCTCAGAACTAGCAAATAGTCTCAGGCACATAAAATTTCCTACAATGGATGTAAGCATACAGATGGAGCCAAAAACTAAAGAGACAGTGAAGCTAAGGTTGCTCGAGAGAGTCACACCACCTGACAAGGACAACGCAACAAAGAGAAAATGAAGGTATAGCTTGGTGATAGTTGGGTGGCTTTTTTGAAGTAAGACGTTTGTAAGAACTGCATTTCCAGCATCTTCAGAGATGTGGGGGAGCAGGTCCCAGAGGCTCACTTGGCCACCACGGAATTAGTCCTCCACAGAGTGTTACCCTTTCCCAAAACTTCATAGCTGCTCAGCTGAAATAATGCAACACCTTCAAAGAAGAAAGGACAAAGCATTCATACCAGGCCGTGATGCTATTTTTAGGCCTTCCTAATTTAATTTACCTCAGTAAGAAAAGGTTGAGTCAGCAGATACTGTCACAATGGCCTAGTATAACCTACTGTCAGATTTTTTTTACGCGGTTTTTGACTGGGCAGTTTCTTTTACGTAATATTTTGGCCTTTGTCTCTTCCCTGTTCCCCCATACATACACACACCTCTAGCAGTTCTAAGGAAGAAACACAACCCTACCCACGGTACTCACACAGCCATGGCAACGCCACTACTGCACTCCAGCTCAGCTTGATTTGCCATCATAGAAGGGACAGGGATGGGACAAAAGGGACTAGGAAGAGAGAGCTGCTGCCCAGTCAACCAGACCACTGTGTCCCAGCACTGACCCAGCTAGTCACTCCACTTGCCTTACATTCTCCTACTGCTACTGGCACTTCACCTGGCTGTCAGAATAACGATAATTTAGAGGGAAAGTGAGAAATGGGGTGAAAGAAGAGACAACATTAAAATGTAATTTTCTTCAGGCTCTTCATGTCCTACCAAGATTATTCAGCTTCCCTTCGGTCCGTGAAGTGAGAATGTCCAGCCTGTTAAGCATCTTTCTGAGCCAAAAAATAGATTAAGAACTTGGAAGCAGCCTTGATGTACATCTGAAAGAAATCCAACTCTCAGAATGATTTGAAAAATGATCCTAAATTTTGTAAGACAGTCAGCAGCACAGATCTGTGCATACTCAGTACACAAAGAGGCAATTCCTCCCAGAGAAAACTGCAGTAATACTTATTTGTGGACTACAGACACAGGAAAGTATCTTAGAAACTCAAAAAAACCCCACATACCTATAACCATCACATATATGAAGGATAAAAAGAGCTTTGAACTAACATTAAAACTTTAGCAAGAGCATGTAAGAATATCCACGCTGTGGCAAACTGATTTCAGCAAAGCACTTTGTTCAGCAAAAGCTGTCACATGCAGCAAGCATCTGAAAAAGAGACTATGAACTTGATGTGCCAGGTCTGTGAAGGATGACCAGCAGATCCCGATTTTGCACATCTGGGAACTCTTGACATTGACAAACAATAATGCTTGCCATGGAAAGTGTGTCATAAACTACAAAATGACACAAATCATGATGTTACTGATCCCAGAGTCACCTTATAGAAAGCTTAAAGCACAAAACATTTCAAACAAAACAAAGCAAAACCACCAAAACCAACCCAAAACCAAACCCACCATTCCAGCAAGGACCAGAATAGTCTTTACTGAATACAAAAGACAACGTGAGAAAAGAAGACGGAGTGACAGTGGTTTAGGTTGTAGATGGTTTCACAATGATCTTCACAGCTTTGTCCCAAGACTTCTTCAATCAGTCACTTCTGGACCTCATCAGGAGATCCAGAAGGGAATGATTTCAGAAGTGTTTATTCCAGATGAACTTAATGAAATCTCACGAACCACAAACAAATGACATTTAAAAAGTGACGGCATCAGCGCTAGGCACAAGGAAGCTTGCTTTCCTCAGGGTTTGTGTCTTGGGATTGACTTAGGGCTGTGGTCGAGTTTTTTTTTCCCATGGTTAAGGCCTTTGTAAACATTTGCTGCCATACGAATTCTCTTTTGCTTAGTAACATCTGAGCCCATGAGTGCCCTTCTCATACAGGACTTCCCTCAAGCTTTTCTCTCCTCACCCAGTACTTCATATTTTCAACAAACTCATTGGAACATTTTTTTTTTCTCCTCGTTAGAACTTACCCACCTGTCGAATTCATTTCAATAATCTGCAGAATTATAAATCACTGGTGAGGTTGGGGAGAGAGGAGACAAACAAACTAACATGCACATGCCAAGTAATTTGCAAAGTCTTGTTCCTTTAGCAACCTGACTACAAACAAGGACGATAAAAATCTTTAATAACAGAAGCATCAGGTAATCTAAGTATGGACACAGTCTCATCAGGTAAACATGACATAGTATTGTTTAATTATTAGAACCATCTACCTTTTTTTCCAAGGTCATGAAAAATCAGTGACTTGGTATGATTTCCTTCTTAGGATGAATACTTACCACATTAATGACAGGAAGACCGGCATGTTTGAAGTGTACATGTGAGAAATCCCAAGTGCTGACTGATGAAGGATATAATGATTTGGACAAAACTTACAAAGACCCAATTTATTACTGTTGCTTACCCCCCTTCTCACCCCCCACCCCCCCCAAATTCACCAACAAAGAAAATCCCAGAAATCATCCAGTCCCAAGAGCAACACAATAAAACTGCTGCAACACGAAGCTGTACTTTGGGACTCAGAAAATCCAAAGTCTCTGATTATCTTAAATTTGTCACCCCACAGCTTCTTCCCAGCTAAAAACTCCAGCAAATTAAGTACAAAGTAACCATGACAATTACCACACCAACATGTTGTCTGTTCTGAGTAGACAGAGCATTTGCACAACATCATTTATGAAAATCCAACATGAAAGTGTTAAGAATTATGTATGTTTTAATAAATTAATATAAATAGGTCACTTGTAACTTTATGGTAATGGAATTAAACCACAGCAATATAAACAAACAGATTTTTATATATAAAAGTGTCATTTATTGTAAGGAAACTTTAAATATAACCAACAATATTGAAAATATTGTGACTGGCATTTATGGCCTTGATTGTAGTTTACTGCCATACAAGTAATTTCTAGCATTTTTCTTAATCACATCAAGCTAGTGCAAAATACAGGTAGCTTTTAGAGATTAAGCATACAGAATGACAAGAGTGTAGATTTTGGTTACCTGATATTTCCTTCTAGTATAACAGGCTTCTCTTTTTTCCATAAATCAGAAGTAGAAAGGCAAGTTATCATATGTGCAATTATTCATACCAGGTTTCTAGGTTAAAAAAAAAGTCATTTGTAAATTTTGCTCAGATTGTATTTTGTTAGGAATCTGACTTATAATTTATACCATACTGTATGATATAAATTATATGTTGTTATATTATATAATCATAATCTCATATACAGGTATGATTATATAAATTGTCAGAACATATCACTAACTACAGGATAATAATTACATCAACATACACAAATATATGGCATTAGAAAAGTCATTATCTAAGAAGGAAAGATGTTATAATTCAGGTGTTTGAAACCGGGCACAAGCAGCCTTCCTACAATTCTCGTAGTATCAGTTTGGTAGAACTACTGCCAATCGCCATTATGTGTACTAGCTTTCCAAGTACATCCACAGATAGGTCAATAAGCAGTATTAAAACTGGACTGTGCCTGAAATTTCCAGTCACAGACCCTTGTAAGCAATGAGCCTTGTGCTCCTAATTAAGATTATATTCTCTCTCCTCAGTCTCAGAAGGTATTCCATGCTATTATGGCTAAAACGATATTATTTTATGATGATCTACAAGTTTTTGAAAGCAGGGCAGGTTAGCTTTAACAATGACATACTTTCCAGACTTGGGCAAAGCTTTTCAAGTATTGATCTTTCAAATTAAAAATATTTTTGTAGTTCCTGATGAGGATTTTTCAAGGACAAGCTTGGTTTAGCATGGCTTTTGATATCAGTGACTTCACTAATTGAATTTGGTCTTTGATAGCTAAGATTAGACTGCAAGAAGAGAGACATACAGAGATCATTTCATTTGAAATAGGTACAAGATTTAACAGATAAAAAAGGTGAGATCTAAAAAAACCCTAACTAGATAACAAGCATAGATAGAGAGGACAAAATGCATAAATATAAAACAAGGGAGAAGGAAAACAATATCGGTTATGTATGATTAGGTAGAACATGACAATGACCTATGCCTTTGCTTTTAAAGCATTAAGGTTAATTTGTCAGCTGTTCTCACTCTAGACTGTACAGAATATATGTAACTAATAAAAAATGCAGTTTATTGCAAAAATATACAAGTCCTCTAAATTGCATAAGATATTACAATGTCGTGCTGAAACATGACATATTAAACAAAGAGGACTTTAAAACAAATTACAAAATGTTAAAAATCAGATTAGGGTCATGAGCGTTACACAAAATGCATTGTCATGCTTTATCTTACGATTAGTCTGTGATTCACTACATCTGTGATAAATGCAACATAAAATCATGACAACCGTAATAGTCAGAAAGTAATATCTACTTTATATCTTCTGTATTAATACATATAAACACTTTGTGTGCACTAATACTTTCAACATATCACATTCAAACTAACAGTCTTTCCAGGAAAGTTGTAACCTTTTTAAAGAACAGAAGCTGGTTTAACAAGTTCATCACATGTGGGTTTTTTGAAATCTACTCTTTAAGGAAATGCTGTGTTAAAGGACTTGATTTTCAAAGGTGCTGTGCTACTACGCTCCGTCTTAATGCCAGATGGAACCGTCAATGCTAAGCACTTTAAAAATCAAGCCCACAATTTATTAAATTCCCAATTTATTTACTAGTATTTCCACTGTAATAAGTCCAAAAAATACCTCCAAACCCACTCTTAAAATCACAGAAAATGCTTGGCATCTATAGGAAGAGAGACAATTTCTCAGTGGACTAACCACTACTGTGCTATATTCTTGTAACAGATCTTGTTGCTCCTATGTTTAGTTCATGCACTCGGATCAGCAATGTCCATGTTTGTTCCAAACAGAGCAACTAGCTGCTCTTCATAGTTTGCAATGTTCCTTTTCAGAATTTCCATACAAGGTCCCAAAAGCCTTTCAAATGCCTGAACATCCATAACTAAGACAAAAAGGGAGAGAAAGAAGAAAGAGAAACAATATAACATGTTTGTCTTGGTGTTTATGACATTCCAATGTAAAATTTTAAATGCTAATAGAACAGCTACTACCAGGGCATACACTTTGCACAGAAAAGAACCACTTACCGTAGCAAAACCAAGATCAACCAACACATTGCCATCTTGAAACTCCATGAATAAACTTAGAATTTGCTGCATTTCTTACTTTGAAAAATATTTTCATATTAAGATTTATGTCAGCCAAGAGCTGCCAAAGAAGTGTGGAGGGGCGTGGATTCCTCCACAGAATACAGTTTTAAGACCCTTGAGATTTCAAAAAAACCACATCCTTTGCTGATGTTGTTGGCTGCATTTGGGGTCTAACTTAGCATATGTCCTTGCTACTTTTACTCGCTTCTACCCACAGTGGAAATTGTAATAGATATTTATTTCCCAGCAAACACACAAAAATTTGGAGACAGTAATTCACAAGCAATGCCAATGCATAGCCGACCAGAATATTTTCGTTACGTGATCATATGATGTTATCCTCTATAGTTCTAGCCAACAGGCCAGGGAGGAAATTTCATACGCCAACCAGCTTCCAATCTGATGGCCTGTAGTGTCTTGGCTCCCAAGAAAAGTTCAAGGTCTCTGCTATTTGGGAAGTGCCAGAGATCTTAGTGACTGACCCATACTGGGTAATGACACTCTTCCTCACCACTGACTCTTATTCTTTCCTCTGTCATCTTTGATCTTTATTGCCTGATCATCTCTGTGTGTTTGGAGACAGGGATTTTAAAAAATAATACCATTATAAGTAAGCAAGAAACTTTTTGTTTACTGGCTTGGTAATCAAACTGACATTTAAGAATGCCAAATCTGTCTTTGCTGTTTACAGGTTTTCCATAATTAGATACAACTATTTAGGAGCTAAGCATTAGACCATGAAAAGCAACGGATGTGGAGGGTTGTCTATGAGCACAACTCCTACGGTCTTTGCTTTTCCTGTGCCTGAGGCTACAGTGTGATGGAATGATTAAACTAACAGTTGGTGAAGACAAAGAATTTGTTAAAGCTTAAGTCATGGTGATAAAACGGGACAGGATTTTTCTTGGATGAGAGTCAGTCTACTGAGAAAAGAAACACTTTACCTTTCTGCAGAGTATTAGACATTTATCTGATAGCTATAAATGGTTCGTAGCAATACCCTCTGTACTGTCCTGAAAATTTTTACTTCCATGTGATCAGAGAAACATTGAAGAATTTGTGTTTAACACCAGTTATAAATTGCAAATAATTTTTACAGACAAGTAATGTAAATAGGAATGCACAGTAATAGATGATGTACTTAAGCAGTCTTATTTGGGTAAATGTAATTAAATCTTATATTCTGGAGGAAGACACAGTTCATAATAAAAACAACCAGATAGATTATGGATCACTTTATATTAGATATGAAATATTATTGAACAATACCTAAACATTTGACAGTGCCAAGAGCAAATGCAGAAGCGGCTCGTGGTTTGTTAGTTACAAGAGCAAGTTCTCCAAAATATTGTCCTCTTGAGCATCGAGCTATTTCAACTGCTCCATTCTCTTCTACCTCTTGTTTACCCTGATGTATCAGGTAAAAAAGAAAGAGAAAAGAAGAGAGAGAATGAGTGCGATATCTGCTGAACTCAGTATTGTATAAGCAAAATTAGTAACAATGGTAGCATTACTGTTTAACACTTGGAATACATCAGGATTTAAAAAAATAAAATTCTGATTTTCAGGGATGTTTACCTTCCTTGTCATTATAATCCTTACTTCTCCAGATTCCACAATGAAGAAGGAATCAGCTGAGTCACCCTGTAGAGAGAGAAAAAAATGAAGTGAGTAAAGGAAATGTGAAATTTGTTTTTTAGTTTTATGGTAACATTAAAATATTTGCAGCCAGTGCCTTGAAACTCATCTTTTTGATAACTGTTGCAAAAGAAATCACTTTTAATGTGAAAACCATACTCAAGGCACACAATAATCAAAACATCTATACAGAAGTGACACCAAGACCTTTTCATGGAAAGACATAGCTGACCGTGCCTTATACAAAAAGCAGAGAAAAACAATGTTACGGAAGATTTTAGGATCCTTCCTCCTGTTCCTCCAGCTCTGTATTCCTTCCAAATTACTTCGCTTACGGAGTTTCCAGTATAAAAAGCCTCTAAGGGCTATCTGATACCTAATAATTATTTTCGGGCAAGACAATCTCAGTTGCCTACCCTGAAGAGTTTACTTCTGCATTCTTCTTCAAAAGATTATCATACTTTAACAACAAAAACAAGGTATGTCTTCAGTTCTTCTTATTGCAAGCCATCATTTTTTTTACATAGTTTGAATTTCTAAGTATACTAAAAATGTTGACTCCTTTATTCATACCAACAGGGGGATGTTTTTCAAAGTACCGTAAGTGAAAAATTAGCTTCTGAAACAAAATAATCACCTCTCTTAGATGCAAGATCGTTTCTGTTTTGTTTGACAAAGAAAATCATAGTTTAAAAGTATGCATTGTCTTTAGATAACATGATAATTGTTACCTATTGGAAAAGAAAAACTAAAACTAGAAATAAACTCTACCTGAGCAATGATTTGTTCTCCGTCTTTGTACACTTTGGTGCCAATCACATCAACCACTTTTAAACGCTCAGATACCTTCATTTAAAAAAAGAAAATGTAAGAAATATTTGGTTAACATCACAATATTATATTTAGAAAGCCCTTTCATTTTATTTTCATGAATCTTTGCACAGAGTAGTGTATCTTCATTTTCCTGTTTGACAACCATTAAAAAATAAGGAACTGCTGAATAATGTTCCAAAGGGTATATTATAGTCTTAACAGCTAGATGTTTTGACAGAGTTTCCAGTTTTTTAAGTAGTCTATATATTCCAAGTCTTAAAAAAATATTTTCAGAAAAGCATGCATGTAAAAATACAACTATTGAATGAAAATATTTCGAAATTCCCTAAGTGCTTGCTTAATTTTATTGGCTAATATCTAGTAAAATTAAGCTTAAGAAAATGAAGGTAAAGGTTAAAAAAATGTAGGGTTTTTTTAAAAATACATTATTAACAATAGTTCTTTATCCTGAAAATTTAGAAACATCAAAAAATACAGTCTTTCTCAAAAATATTGTTGAGAAAATTTTCATTCTGCAAAAGCAAAATCTTATCAGGTACCTCTGATATGGCCACTAAAATAATGCAGTAGAAATCTTACTTCTAAAGATTTAAGGAATGGCAACGACTCAATAAAACTTTCATACATTCTTCTCTTTTTGGCATTATTTTTTACAATGATTCTTCGGAACGTTATCCTGTCCTGTAAACACAAAGAAAAAAAGAGAGTTTATTAACAGAAAATACACGTGTGACAGAAAATACTTTAGAAATGGCTGAATATGTTCACATCACCCAATTTTAGTCACTAAATGTAGCCATCAAACTAGCTGGCTAGTCATACAGTCAGTTGAGAAAGATTCCTCTAGAGGTCAATCAAGAGCTTCTAAAGTTAAGCTCCTGATCTGATTCACATTGTGAAAAGCTCCTCTGCCCCTCAGTAGAGAACAGTTTACCTTAAACAGGTTGGCTGCACAATGAACGCCAAGTGGATAATTTAAGATATTTAAGAAATCCTCAATATTTAAATATTTAATTTACAAAGTTTATTCATTATCCCGAGGTCCCATACATATTGATATGTACTCAAAGAGGTTTTTATATTATTATACAAACAACACAAAAATACACGGGTCTGGGTCTTGGGTCAGAGTCCACTTTCTGCTGTTGCAGCAGAACAAGACTCATTGCTGCCCTAAACGGCCAGCTGGACATTCCTTAGGATTTGGCAATCCAAGTGAAGCAGACAAATGGAAAAACTACATGTATGCTGTTTTCTTCTCTTAACTCTATATGACTGCGTCCTGGTGACTGACAGAGGTGAAATGCTTTGCAAGCCTTCACAGTTACAGGTGGGACTTGCTGGCAAATACAACCCAATCTAATCTAAAACCATTCTTATAGTGTCCTAAACTTTGCCAAGATCCCAAAAGTCATATGGATTAAGTTTGTGAAAATCCATGTGTTTCGCTTCAACAGGAAAAATTTGTCTTAGGGTCAGTTATTAGATTGATATGTATATCTTGAAGATGACTATCCCAGTTTTACTCTTTTGGTAAATTCTATTACTGTTGTCAAAGATCCAGATAGTATAACACTGGTAAATAACCTCATATTTGAGCTTTACTCTGGAACCAAAAGCATTTCCTATGAATATGTGGAAAAACATTTTATATATGTGTTTAAGTAATTGTCAAGTGGTTTGCAATTTGGGAAATTATCATTAAAATAGAATAAAACAAAACGATTTTTTAAAAAACTCAGTGTTTTCTTAAGCCTCAGGTTTGCTTCTGCAGATCTGGAAGAAGACAGTACCATGTCAGGAGTTCTCAGAAGTTTTAAAATTAAACTTTCTGAAATTATAATTTTTTTGGATGCTGATAAAGCATATCAGTGCAACTTATATACAATATTTTAAACAAATGAATGATATATTAAAACAAGTATTTCACTTACCAAACCCCAGATGGCACCAGGAGAGGTAGCTATAATTGTAGCTGCTCTGGGTGTGTTGTACATTAAGGCCAACTCACCAAAACTTCCTCGGTTATCATAGGTTCCAACACACCTCCCAACACCATCGCATTTTACATAGATATCATATGTACCTCTGTTAATAAAATATATAAATACAGTGAGTAGAATCCAGTCCTGTTCTTTGCCAAGTAGTCTCTCACTATAATTTTTTATACCATGAATTCCAAAGATAGATCATTTGAAGTACACATTCACTTGTTTAAATGATATTAAACAACTTGCACCGACATCTCAATCACCTCCATAAATAACAGAAGTAGTTCATTTTCAAAGGAAAGGACAGGGTTATTAGTTTTTACATTAACTCAGTTCAAAGATAGACTAGATTTGCAGTGACCTATTGATCACCAGAACTGTATTAAAAATTAAGATCAAACTTAGTATCCATTTCTTAATTTCCTTTTAAACACACTAAATACAAATGTAGCAAGTCTTTGCAAAAATCACCATGGTATGATCATTAAAAATATAATACACATGTTACATATAAATATAAGTTATTTATAATTTAAAGTATTTTAAAGTAGTAATTTATAATGTAATGATTAGAGGAGATGCAGGAAAAAGAATGCAAGTATATGGAAAGCAAAACAAGATTATGAAACAAAGAGGTCATGTATTTATCCAATATAACATGGTTTTCTTCTCCCCAACATTAAATTAACCACTTTTTTTCTTTTGGGGAAGCAATAAAATCTGTTACCTTCTAAAACATGACACAGCCATCCCCATTGGTGCTGAGCCATCATTTTGTTCAGTGCTGAATATTTGTATGGCCCTTGTTGATAAATCATGTGAATTTAATGCAAAAATCTGTACAACGATTTCATTCATAAGGGGCTTAGAGGTGATTCACTGTACCTAAAAACTGCAAGGCTGACAGAATACTGTGAAATCCCTGCAGCTTTTTGGATAAGAGATGACAAACTGTAACTCACAAAGCTGAAAAACACTGACTCTTTAGTAAAGAATCCTGACACATTTCTACAATCTTCTGATTGAATATTTCAGTTGGAAGGAACCTACAGTGATTCTCTAGTCCAACTGCCTGACCACACTTCAGGGCTGACCAAAAGTTGAAGCGTTATTAAGGGTATTGTCCAAATGCCTCTTAAACACTGACAGGCTCAGGGCATTGACCACCTCTCTAGGAAGCCTGTTCCAGTGTTTGACCACCCTCTTGGTAAAGAAATGCTTCCTAATGTCCAGTCTAAACCCCATCTGGTGCAGCTTTGAGCCATTCCCACACGTCATATCACTGGATACCAGGGAGAAGAGATCAACACCTCCATCCCCCCTTCTCCTCCTCGGGAAGCTGTAGAGAGCAATGAGGTTGCCCCTCAGCTTCCTCTTCTCCAAACTAGCCAAAGCCCAAAGTCCTTAGCCACTCCTCATAGGACATTCATTCCAGCCCTTTCCCCAGCTTTGTTGCCCTCCTCTGGGTGCATTCAAGGACCTTCACATCCTTCATAAATTGTGGGGCCCAGAACTGCACACAGTACTTGAGGTGAGGCCACACCAACACTGAATGCAGCGGGATCATCACCCCATTTGACCAGCTGGTTACGCTGATCTTCACTGACCAAATCCCTTTGCATTTCTTTTAGAGTTCTAGCATAGTATTCCTTTCACACACTCAGAAATCACTGTGTTAGCCTAAAACTAAAGGTACCAATAAGAAGAGGTGCTTTGCGACAGCCTGGCTGGAGCCTGTGCCAACAGACTAGTGAAAGATGCCAAGGTAAATGTTCTTCCTAGCTTACCGGATTCAACAGCAACCAGTATCTAGGATTTTACTTAGCTGCCTTTTCCAGTACAGATTCGCAAACAAAGAGTAGTGACTTAGCTACTCGAGGTCTAATAATATTCACATGAACAAGAAAATCTACAGATAGTATTGAAATGCAGTAAGATTTCAAATATTAAGCTGTAAAACTTTTCCCATTGTGTTTTGTGTTAGATCTCTCTTTCCACATGGAAAAAAAACAACAAACCAGTCTTTGGGATCTAGTAATACATAAAGAGGACAGGGACGTATTTCTATATGAAAAATCTGCCTCCTTTCAAAAACCACTCTCTATAGCTCAGACAGAGCTGTCCCGGTTCACGTGTGTCCTTTATTCTTTCTCCCATGCAAACATACATAAGAGTTAAATACAAGTATGTGGAGAAATTATTTTTTTTCAATGGACTTTTGCGTAATACTTTGTGCTATAATAAGACACAGTGATTTACCTATCAATGACGTAGAAGTTGTCGCCATCATCCCCTTGATCAATGACATGTTCCCCTCCTTCAACCAGCTTTTCAAACATCGCATCCAACACCTGAGACATCTGTTCCTATTTAAAAGAACACAAAGACAAGAAATTATCATCCGTTTTCAAAAATTTTACTCTTCAAATTAACTGTTCAGCCTCCCAAATACACAGATAAAGCTTAGAGACATAAAAGCGTTTGTGCTACAGAAACATGTGGATCAATCAGAAAGAAAGCTTTATTTAGTATTCACTGTTAGCTTTTTTCTCTTCCAGTGTTCAGAGCTCAGCTTCCCTTCTTGTCCCTGTGAATGATAACATAGATCTTGTGTGCAATATAAATTGCTCATGAGCATCCAAAGATAGAATTTCACCCTCCAACTGCATAATGTTATACCGTTAAAAGAAAAAACTGTATCCCTTATTGCAAAAAATACCTTTACATGGTTTGCTCTTTGGAAATATTTTACAGTATTTACAGTTTCAAAATTATTGTAACGTATTCTGAAAATCTAAATTATACAACGCCTGCACAATGTTGGGATGGATGTAACCATAAAGGTCTGCAGTGCTTTGGCTGAGTAAGGAAATACTGGACTCCTTGGGAAGTAGGAATTTACACATGGCTATAAAACTACTTCGTTAATTTGAATGGAATACAAATGTTTAGAGAGAAATGTTAACAGATTAACAAAATGTCAACATCTGAATTATGACTGTCTAATAAAAACAACAAATCACTAATTACATAATTTGTCTTGTTTGGTGTAAATCTGCTGAAACTTTACTATTCACATAAAACCCCCAAACACAGCTCATTATGGATTAACAATATGAGTCCTAAAAATATAACTTAACAATTCAAATTTTATTTTCATTTTATCCAGCAATATATCTAAAATTCTGACAATAAACACAAAATTATCCTTTTTTTTGAAACTTGTTAAGTATGTATCGTGCTGGAACAAGCAGGTTTTAGTGAAAACCACAGTAAAAAAAAAAAAGCCTGTGTATTTTGATCCCCATGCATTTTACAATGGTCCAATTAATAGCATTTCCAGCCACTGAAAAATGGCATTTGCCTTTCCAAACAAGACCAGCCTAAGCCAGTCCTCTAGAGTCCTTCTGCAGCCCACAGACAGAGATAACCACACTAGATAGCTCAGAATCATTCTCTAGAGATTCCCCTTTCTTTCCTCTGATGATAAAGAGATCTGCTGTAACTCACAGTTAAACGCTTAATTTTTAGACAGACAAAATTAGGTGGAATTAATTCCATCCTTATGCTGTTGAATTTCTTCACTTACTCAAAGCTTTTTAAAATATCTGTGCCGTGTTATCCAAGCCTATTTAAAAAATGAAAGCAAAATACAATTTTACTTCACAGAGTTCATTGTCTGTGGGCACAAAGAACAACAGAATGGCAGCATCCATCCTCAGGACAGCTGATCATGGTAAAATACAGTAAGACATCATGCAGCCTACCTAAGCCAGCAAGGAATAATTTAACTATGTCTCTATTCAGTGCTTTTTTTTTTTTTAGTATAGACAGGTATGCATTTGCAAAAAGAGGGATCATTTTACTATCAGTGAACGGGTTATAGTTCATTTCAGAGAAAGAGAAAAGTGTGTGTGCCCCATTGGGAGAGACTGAAAATTAGGTACAGGAGTTGCCTTTTAAAAACTTTTGTGCTTACATTCATAGGTAGCATTACTTCAGTCTTTTCAGTTTTCCCTATGTAAACTTAAAGCAACTCCTACAGAATCTGCAAAACTGATCTAATGTCAGTTTGTTGGCTAAAGCATTTGAAGAAGCTGGTTCCCTTCCCCTTGCTTTACATCTGAATTGGCAAAGGTGCTTCCCAGCCAAGAGCCCTCGGTTGCCGTTTGGAAGCAAGTAAGAACATGCAGAATGCTCCACGCTTTATGGGAGGGTAGAGGGGAAACATTATCCTCTGAATGCAAACAATGCAAGAAAAATGTATTATATGGACCCCGATCCTTGGAAATTAAAATACTCCCAAGACAGCTTAAAAAAAGAATAAACTGAAAAGATGGTTATTTGCAGTACTGAAGGAATAACATATACAGTTATAATCTTTATGCAGTGTGCTTCAACTCAGATTCCATGTTAGAACATTTTCAATCTCATAATTATGAATCAAGCTCACAAAACTTTTCTGGTAGGTAAACCTATGACTTTTTTAGACAACCAAGTAGAATTCACAAATACAGTTCCCTTTCAAAAAAAATATGTTTTAAACACTGTAAGTTTTGTAATACACTGGAGAGCTAAATACCTGTCTATTATCTGCTGAACTATTACACGTGTGTTTTAACTTACAAATAAATTGCAACTAACTTAAAGACAACTAGTCACTTTCCCAAAACTTTCTATGTAAAATAAAGATAGAGCAGACTGCAATAACCAAACCAGATACGTGGGTCTTGCTTTTACTGTGAGAATTACAGAAGTTGCTTGCCCAGCTTGCTGCTACGTGCATCCTCTTCGTTCCCTGCCAAACTGAGTCTCAATTTACTGGCACCCTCCATAGTTACTTTGAACGGATAAAGACGGGCACTTCTGGAATTAAAAAGTAGATCTGTTATCATACACAAAATTAATTCTGGTATTTTGTAAAATGGTACAGTCTGAAAACTCTTCACTCTTAAGGCAGTTCTAGTTTAAAAAAACACATATGAAATGGAAACAGGAAGAGGTTTTTTATATCAGTGTTTGTAAATCTGCTATATGTAATGCTGTGGCAATCTGGTAATCCATATTCTAAAGAATGATGCTTTATAAACATGATAAAATTTATAAAGAATTTGAAGTATTAAACATATATGTTGTGCAATCTTTGTGACTTCTCCTAAAATTTCATTATCTTAATACAGCTTTTTCAAATATCATAAAACAATTATTTTTATTTGTGGAATGTATTATCCTTAATATGAAGTACCAAATGGAAAGTTTAAATTATTTGCAATTTGATTGATTATATAATGTTTGTTTACATACTCTGATTAACACACACAATAGATTTTTTTTTTATTTTATTCTAAACTGTGAAGCTTGTAAATACTTCAAGAAAGGAACATTTCTGAGAAAATTATGGGACCCTTGCCATGAAAGCACACTTTGATCACCATCCTTTGTGATACAGAAAATATTTTAACGTCCTTAAAAGCAAGGAAGCTGAATGGGAAATCAGATTTTCTGAAAGATACCTTCACAATACAAACCAAATGAATGTACCAAGATTTTCTTTGTGAAGATATTATCTTTTTTTGAAGTGTAGTTACTGCATTTCTCTCAAAAAGTCTTTCTAACAATTGGACTTTAATGACAGAGCATGATTTCACAAAATAATTTACTAGACAAGTGAATAAACATGCTGTAGTTACAGCCATCATTACTGTCTCAGTCACCTTTGCTTTCAAGTGTGGATTTAACTGCTGGGAAGCAGGAGTGCAAAGAACATCAGCTCCCTTACCAACATCAGCCAGAATGATATATCCCCTCATATCACCTAAAGTGGAGATGATGTGGCTTTCTTCCCCTCTCTTACTTAGACCAAGATGGTACCTACCCTGGTTTTATACCAGCTTAAACAAACTGTGCTAGTCAAGTTCTGCATTTTTAGATCAGTCAGAATCAGAGACTACAACTATGAAGCACAAACTCAACAGGACCAGGGAACAGACTCAAAGCACTAACATGGTATAGTCTGGGCTGGTTTGCTCTTGGTGCAATTGTCAGCACAGCTGGTACAGTTTTGGCTTGTGCCAACTATCACTCCTCCTGACAGACCCTGGTCATGGCTTGGAGGAATGCTTGAGCCAGGGCTTCTTCCCAGTAATGGTAAAGCCACCCTGGTTAGTTGCTTGGTTTGGTGGGGTTAGGAGGAGAGGAAGGTTCAAGGAAGTGTGTATGTCATACTGCATTGCACGGCCTCAGGGACAGAGAATGTCCTCTGATCCAGTTTGTGGTTACCGATTAATTATAGAATGGTTTAGGTTGGAAAGGACCTTGAAGGTCACTGAGTTCCAACACCCTGCCATAGACAGGGACACCTCCCACTAGACCAGGTTGCCCAAGGCCACGTCCAGCCTGGCCTTGAACACCTCCAGGGATGGGGCCTCAACAACCTCTCTGGGCAACCTGTTCCAGTGCCTCACCACCCTCAAAGTGAAAAACTTCTTCCTAATGTTTAATCTAAACCTGCCTTCTTCCAGTTTATAGCCATTCCCCCGCGTCCTGTCACTACATGCCCTAGTAAAAAGTCCTTCCCCAGCTCTCCTGTAGGCAATGAACTGAATAAAGGTGACAAGACTGCAAAATTTCAAAATAATCTACTGCAGTCGATCAAACTCTGCCTTTGGGCATCCTTCTTAACTGCCTGACAAACAAAATCTGTATTTCTAGTCAATCAAATGACATTTTCCCTGTAATTAAAGCCTTCAAAATACTAAACTAAGGAAACATTTAATATGAAGGGCATGTGACTATGACTGATAACTAGTAAAAAAAAAAAAGTTAGCAGGTACTCTTAGCTCTTTAGTCCCAAAACATGTAAATTAACTTCACAACCTCTCTGGGCAACCTGTTCCAGCATTTGACCACCCTCACAGTAAGAAAGGTTTTTCTTAAACAGATTTTTTTTGTATTTCAGTTTGTGAGTGTTGTGCTTTATCTTGTCACAGCACCACTTGAGAGCAAGTCTGGTCAACAGATTGGTGCCTCCATCTGCTGTAGAAAGACGCTCATGTCTCTTTAGCGGACCCTTGAAAGATGCCGTCAAGCTCCTGTTTATCCTGTCTAATGCTACACAGTCCTTCTGCATTTCCTTCACCTAGCAGCTCAGCACTCTGATCACAGCCCATCTCCCTCAGGTGAGGCCACCATTGCCCCTCAGCCTTCAGGAGAGACACCTGCTGCTCTCAGCAGCCTGAGATAGCGATGGCCCCATTATGTCTATGGATCTGGGTTGAAATATTTAGATATGCCATGGTTGGCTGGTCCAGCTGGTGCTGGGGAGCACTCCCTGTGGCCCATCATCACTGTCGTTGCACCAACTCTA